TAATCGCAATATTAATGATTCTTTAGAATTTAGTACTAGGAATAATGTAAGCCATTAGTTAGTAGCGACATGTTTAGTAAGAAATGCTTGCTGATCAAAAATACCACAAGGTATATAGGGATAGGCCTCCATTGTAAATATTGAGAGCTTCATCGGTTACATATAATTATGATCTTGCATGTAAATGTTTCTTTTTCTAGATCATGCCCGTATAACGATTTTTCACATCTGTCTTGGGGAATACCGGTTCAACCTGTTGATGCTGTTAGAGCAGAATGAAAGGTTCCTATAACTGTGTCCGCCTGTAAAAGAAACGTTGATGCAATTGTTTTAATGGCAGGCCTTCGCAGTTTGAGGAGATGACAGAACATATCTAGCGAAAGTTTAAACATTACATTTTTATTCGGGCTTTTAATAATTTTGTAATAAAAACAGCCTAGTATTTACAAAAATACACGATTTCCACCTATTTCACTACTTCTAGACAGAAAATCACAGCCGCACACCTAATACTGTGGCTATTCTAGCCTTAGACAGTTCAAAAATCGGAGTAAGAAAGTTTCTTCAAGCTCCTCATAGGAGCCGCGGTGCCCTGGTTTTTAGGCTTCTGCCTGCGCGGCTGGTTCGGTAGAAAAAAGTAAGATGAAAATTTCGCAATAATTGAAATATCTTCCTGGCCTATTGAATTTCGTATAACTCATTCCGGGGTTAACACGGAAGGTCCACTATCATCAGCAAGGTTATTACGTAAAAATCCCATATAGTATCAAAAAAACTACAAATTGTTGTCGAAGTAGGCTAGTGTGCAAATAGTTCATCCCGCACGGGTATCACGTATCTTGAGTACATTTTTTTTGACATTATGCTGTTTTTTTTTTTGACATTATGTAGGTTTTTCTACAAGATGTTATCTTAGCAATTATTAGTTGAACGTGTCATGAGATTTGTTATCAATCTTTGGCTCTGATGTGATGTAAAATCTGCTTCTGAGATGGTATTACTGGAGGTCTAAGCTGTAAGTTGTATGCGTTGATGATAATTATATTGGGATCTTGTCTCGAATACACTTAATTGAGATTTAAAGCTAGAAATTAGTTGCGCATCTACTTTTTCTTATCCATTCTGGAAATTAAATATACAAATTTGATGAATTTCAAAAATGAGAGCGATAAGAAAAATTCACTGTGTACTGTCGAATTACAAGCCATATACATGCTAACAGTAATTGCACAGAACGCGGGCGCGGTGATGATTTCCCGTAATTCTCCTCAGTTTTTCGTAATTTATAACTTTGAGCATAACCTCTCTTCAGAAAGCACAACATAAAAATAACCCATCGAGCACAGCTAACAGATATACTTCATTGGCAGCATATTCAGTAATGATTTTCTCACACAGCAAATATCACTGACTTTTTACACATTTAGACCAATACACATAAATCATCCAGATGCGATCTTGCTACTCAACCAACTTTCTTCTCAGAGATAAAAACTACAGACAAGGACCATTTGGCCTCACAAAACATATGCAACCTATAATGCGTGTAGTTTAGTTGAGTGATTCCTCCTTAGATGGATGTTCACAACGATCCTAGTGAGCAAACGTGGAATGACTCTTTGCGCCCTAAAAACTACCTAGTTTGCAAGATGACATCTTATAGGTTTTTTGACGTTTTATAGGTTTTTTACATGATACCGTGCTTGCTATAGATGAGCATGAAGTGGACGACAGTTATAAGCTGACGTCTTGTTGGAAAACGTACATAATGTCAAGAAAAAACCGACATAATGTCACTTTTAAATGTACGTTGATCCCCCGATAACTTTACACCCTGTATAGGTCACAAAATGTCTGTACCAAAACACAGGGTGTTGTAAACGTCTACACCACTGACATTTTATTGGTTCGGCTATATAAAGTGAATATTCTACAGAAAACCTTGTGGTGAGATGGCATTACTACCCTAATATAGTATACACAATGCTTGGTGTGAAAGTTCATTAACTTCAAGAAATTTTCCAAGCAAACTGAATTTAAGTTTTTTATACAGACCTAAAATACTAAAACTAACTAATCTCAAAATTCATATTTTATGTGAAATCAAATGCGATATTTAAAAATGTAATAGTTAGTGGCATAGATACTATTTTTCTTTTACTGATATTACTACCACTACTACTATTTCTACGCTACTGATGTAGTTTGAACCACAAGCATTTTTGTACAGAGTGTCCCAGCAGCATGTCTCAATATGCCGTATGCATATAGAAAACAATATTGCCACATGTTTCTATAAAAATTTCCTCCGAAGCTTCATTACGGAGACACAGGCCCCCAAAACGACGCTGGTGGATATCGGTAATTCTCAGATACCTTTTGTATAACACGGTAGCATTCTTCGGAGTTTTGAAAGCTCAGTAACTGATCCTGCATGTTTGTCTGGCCGCTAGTAAGTAGTTGGGACCAAACATGAAAATAACGCCTTTAGATCGCCAAGCATAGACGCAACATTTATAATTTTTTTTACATCATGTATCATATGAACCAACGATAACATTTTTGGAAAGCCCGATATAGAGACTATGCTTATAGAGACATTGTATTATTTCACTGATCAACAGCCAAAAAATATCCTAAATAAAATCAACAAAATATTACTATTTTTAATGTGCTAAAACTGGAATGAAACTTATTTTTTCAATATTAGTTCCAGTTTTAGAGATACGGTAATTATATGTGTTCCTGCTGTGACAGTGTTAATATACTGTAATTCACAAAAATGCAGGTGCTACATTTTTATATTCGGCAAGAAAAGATGATGTAATCGGCATGATTGTGTTACGTTATACATACGTGTACATTATATTGTTTTATATTAGCCATTTTTTCCTCAGTTGGCTAACAGCGTTCATGCAAGATGTCTCGAAAGTGTGTAAACAATCCAGATCAGTTTTGTTACGTGTGTGGTGATGTGACTTTTGCGTCTCAGAGACGGTCTATTAGTCCACTAATAACAAAGGCATACCAGCTTTATTTCGGTTGTAAACTAAGTGATCAAGACAAACAGTGGGCACCCCACATCTGCTGTAATACATGTGCTTCAAGTCTGAGGAGCTGGTTAAATGGCAAAAAACGGTCTATGCGCTTTGCTGTCCCAATGGTTTGGAGAGAGCCTACAAATCATACTAATGATTGTTACTTTTGCATGGTACCTTGTGTTGGACAAGCCACAGGTATGTCCAAGAAGAAAAAATCGGTTATTAACTACCCAAACATACCATCTGCGATGAGACCTGTGCCTCACAGTGACGAAAATCCTATTCCAAAACCCCCAGAATCCTACACTTGCGAATCAGAAAACGAATCAGATCATGGCGATCGAGTGATTCGTCAGGAAGAAGATATGCCATCAACGTCAAGAGATCCTGATTTTATACCGAGCACGTCATGCCACCAACCCACAAAATAACACAGTCAGAATTAAATGATCTTGTAAGAGATTTAGAACTTCCAAAATGTAAGGCAGAGTTACTTGGATCAAGACTGCAGCAGTGGCACTTGTTAGAAGACGATGTTTCGGTATGTGTTTTTCGTAAACGCCACAAAGACTTAGAACCATTTTTCAATATGGAGAATAACTTGGTTTTCTGCAGTAACATTAACGGCTTACTGGCGGCTTTAAATATAAACTATAACCCAGAAGAATGGAAATTGTTTATAGATAGTTCAACATTGAGTTTAAAGGCAGTGTTATTGCATATTGGAAATATTTTACCATCTCTTCCTGTAGGGTATGCAGTTCACATGAAAGAATCATGTGACAATATGAAGTACCTATTGACATGCATAAAATACGATGAGCACCAATGGCATATTTGTGGCGATTTGAAAGTTGTTGCACTTTTACTTGGGCTGCAGCTAGGCTACACAAAGTTTTGCTGTTTTTTGTGTGAATGGGACAGTCGGGCAAAGGCACTTCATTACACCAGACAAAACTGGCCTGTTCGTCAATTCCTAGAGCCAGGTCAAAAAAATGTACAGCATATGCCATTAGTAGATTCGAAAAAAAATTTATTACCACCACTGCATATCAAGTTGGGCCTAATGAAAAACTTTGTCAAGGGATTAGATAGAGATGGGTCAGCTTTTCAATACCTGCGTCAGAAATTTCCAAGACTAAGTGAGGCAAAGGTTAAAGAAGGTATTTTTGTTGGGCCACAGATTCGAAATATTTTGAAAGATAGACAGTTTGAAAACACTTTAACAGGTATTGAAAAAACTGCTTGGAATGATTTCCGTCTGGTGGTCACTAATTTCTTGGGAAATAGAAAAGCTGACAACTATAAAACCCTTGTCAAAAATATGCTGTCATCGTATCAAAAGATGGGCTGTAATATGTCTCTTAAGATACATTTCCTACACTCATACCTGGACTTTTTTCCTGACAATTGCGGAGCCGTAAGTGATGAGCACGGCGAACGTTTTCATCAGGATATTTCAACAATGGAAAAAAGGTACCAGGGAAAGTGGAATCCTTCCATGCTTGCAGACTACTGTTGGACTCTTGGTAGAGATGCTCCAGAAACGATCCATAAAAGAACAGCAAAAAGACAGCGCATATAGTGATTCTTATGAGTATATGAATCTTGTTACTTTTTTAATATATCCTTAAAAATAAAAAGTTTTTTTTTCTAAACCGCAACTATTTTTTTTATTTCATTGTCATTTTTGGATTCAGCGCCCCAAAATTAACAAAGAAGTGCACTTTCCCACAAGATACAATTAAAAAACTAAAATTTGTTGTCCAGTGTTTTATAAGGTGATTTTTGTTGTGAAAGTCATTATTTGTTAATGGTTCGTACAATGCTAGCCCATTGGAAATATTTGTTTCCAGTATTTGTTAATCTGCTACGGAGTGGAATAGATTATCTGCTTTGTTATAAATAAAGTTTAAGCCTGAGTTAATATCACGAAAATATAATGGAATGCTTTTGCAGAATCTCAAATGGGTGAAAACAGCTTTGCTCCGACGAGCATCAAACCTATTCAGACCCAACGACCTTTCACACCAAGGGACAAGGAACGGCTTTTGTTCGGCGAAAAGACCAAAACCAATAGACCACCTAGTTCTTTCAGGTAATATTTCATCCAAACAGATATATAGATAGATAAATATGCTTTATTGTCTAAAGAATACAATCATTCTTAAAGACAAAGCTGACTAGAAACTGACCTATAACATAATTACATACAGGGTGTTCATTTGAAAACTTCTCACCACGGATTTAGCAAAAACCACTGATTAAAAGAAACAACGCCGAGACACTTCAAAAGATTTACCAAAAACTACTTCATCCCTTTTCACCCTCTGCCCCCAGGGTCAAAATTTTAATGACAAGGGGTATCAAGTAATAGCTTGTTTAAAAGGTCTTTTGAAGTCCTTTATTTTGAAGTTTGATTTTTTAAATCGATCAATTCGTTTTCAAGAAACTTAGAAAAATCTTTAGTTATCTTAATTTGTTCAGATAGAAAACAAAAACATACGAAAATATCACTTTTTATTCCAATAAGTGTTCAAAATGTTCCCCGTTATTGGCCAAACAATGATATAGGCGATGTTCCTGACGGACAATTTCAAAAACATGTTGTGGGATATTATGGCAGCTTTCGATGACGCGTTGACGAAGTTCATCCAAACTTTCAATAGATTTCAAATGGCCCCATAGAAAAAGTCTAATAGCGTCAAATCAGGAGATCAAGCAGGCCATTCTATGGGCCCTCTTCGCCCTAACCGTTTATCTGGAAACTCGTCGTCTAGCCATTGCCGAACCGGAAAAACATAGTGAGGAGGAGCGCCGTATTGCTGGAAATATATTTCAGCCTCATCAAGCATAGGGTTTTCATCCTCTTCGATTTGGTTTTCAATTAAGATAAATAGAGATTTTTCTAATTTTCTTGAAAACGTATCAACCGATTTTAAAAATCAAAAGTCAAAATAAAGGCCTTCGAAAGACCTTTCAAACAAAGTAGATATTACTCGATACCCACTGTCATTTAAAATTTTTAAGGGAACGACCCTGTGGGCAGAGGGTGAAAGGGGGTGAAGTAGTTTTTGGTTTAAAAGCTGTCTCCCTTGACAAATCTTTTGACGTGTCTCTTTTAATCAGTGGTTTTCGATGAATCCGTGGTGGGAAGTTTTCAAATGAACACCCTGTATGTGGATCTTAAGTAAATGAATCGTAGAACTCATTTATGATATAATATGTAAATTTTCAAATCATTCTAAACTATTGAGTCTTCCGCAACTATTGATTTACGTATTACTAGTTCAAGACCTTGTTTTCATCTCATACCGTAACTTATATTTAATGTTTCAAATTTAGATTTTTTTGCTGTTTCTAAAACGAGCAATCATTATTTTAAGATTGAGAAATAAAGGCCCGCATGTAGATCTAGGATTGCTTCTAGTTATACAGGGTGTTATCAAAGTTGAGTCATTTTTTTTACTGCTTGTAGGACTTGTAGGAGTTGATATACCGAAAATCACCTATATAGAAGTTGCATAATAAGAGAAATAGTAAAAGATTAAAAATTTAAAAAAACAAGAATGTTATTACACAGATTTTTTGATATTCTCGACCGCTGCCGTGTAAAATCTTAGCGTTTTTGGTTTACTACAACCAGCGCACTGAAGATGGTTGTGATTTAATTCGTGGACACCAGGATTTTATTTTCGAAGCTTGTAAAGAGTCGTAGATTCTCCGAGCAAGATTTTGTGTTAATCGCACAATTTTGACCAGTTTTTGTAAACACGGTATCCATTTAACTTGACAATGATTTTTTTTGATAATTTTTAATCATGCAAATTAACTCTCTTACTATGCAACTTTTACATACGTGATTTTAAGTATATCAACTTCTTTTGACGAGTTCTACAAGCTGCTAAAATAAATGAATCAACTTTGAAAACACTAAACATCTAATAGTTCGATCGAATAAGCAGTTTTTAAAAATAATTTTGAGAACATACACAACAAAAGGGAATGCCGTTTCTCAATTTACTTTCAAATGAGACACAACTGCTTAGGGTTGTGCTTTTCCCTGCGTTCTAACTAATTGTTCTTATAATAAAGGAAATATTTGATAGTTGAGTAAGCAATAAATTTGTCTACGTGATTAGTATAATCTAATTTTCTAATTTATGATCAATGGTCAGTCCAAAAATTTGATGGTGTCTGTTTTGGGTATAAATTCATTATTTAAGTTTATAAAATCAAAGGAGCATTTAAATGTCCATTGTGATGTCCTATTAACATTGATTGTCACACCATTTCTTGATTGATTATATACAGGGTGTTCCTTAATGATATGCGAATATTTAAGGGTGTGAATCTACATGAAAAATTAATGTTAGTTTGCTTTATAAACTATGGTCCAAAAATGTTTCATCACAAAAACCCGGGGTGTTGAAGTTTTAGGAAAAAAATGGAAATTAATCAATAATTTCAGAACCGCTTCAGATATTTCACTGATATTTAGTACGTAGTGAAAGTTGATAAAGTTGCATATTTTTAAATGCAAAAATAATTTTTAACTTTAACAGTGGCGTGCGTACGGGTATTGACTTCGACATTTTTTTAAGAAAAAAATGGTACGCTAATGGTTTTTTGCCAAACAAAATTATTCTTGAATTCCCCGTTCAATTCAAAACAAATGATCTCTCTTGAATTATTTTCCTTCGATGCGCCATTTTTGAGTAAAAAAATAAAAACCGTTCTATTGTCTAACTTGCAAAATTATTATTAATTTAATTGGAAAAATTAAACTCATTAGGAGTAATGAACAACAACAACTGACAACATAAACATAACATTAAAACCAACGAAATGATTACAAAAATTGTTACACTTAGAATTGCATGCTTCTGCCCTCCTTCTCATGGAATTGAGCACTCGTTGAAATATCCCTGGAGTGTGTTTTATTCTATCACAAACTGCAACTATTGTTTTTCTTAATTCCTCTACTGTGTTAATGGGACTTGTGTACATTAGTGTCTTAAGATAGCCCCACAAAAAGAAATCTAAACTGTTGAGGTCTGGGGACCCTGGTGGCCATTTTTGGGGCCCCCCGAGTTTTTGTAAGGAAACATTTTTGGACCTTAGTTTATAAAGTAAACTAACATCAATTTTTCGTGTAGATTCACACCCTTAAATATTTGCATATCATTAAGGAACACCCTGTATAGTAAAAATAGTACCTATTTATACGTATACCCAAATCAATCATACATAATCTCTATTAGTTAAAACAAAATATACATTGTGTTTCACAAGTTATCCGACAAATTTTAACCACATATGCACTGTTACGAAAGAAATTTATTTCTCAAAAAAAAATGTAATAAAATTCCTACAGAAATCGAGACAATAAAATAATACCGTTTAACAGTTCACTTACTTATAAAAGCTGTTCAAAATTCCTGCTGTGCCTGAAGGCTCAAATTATCGGCAGCCACTGTGATTCGGTCGCGCAATTCTTCGATATTCTGAACTGCATTACGGTATACTTCGTTTTTCAAGTATCGCCATAAAAAGAAGTCCAGAGGATTTAGATCGGGAGACCGTAGAGGCCATGCAATTGGTCCACACCTTCCGATCCAGCGTATCTGGTATACCTGATTCAGACTAGAAGCCGCTCGCGAATTACGCCCTGTTTCTATGTACGCTAAAACAATGTCCACTAACTCCTCATTAGTGTATACATGTGACAAAATATTTTCTTACTTCACAAAAATCGAGCGCTCTTCATTCAGATCACCCACGATACAGATTCAACCTTATTTGCACGTTCTTATCAGTATGAAAAAACAAAAAATTCGTGGTATTTTGTTTTCGTCAATTGTTTGGTACAACATTTGCTACAATAAATTATTAATGCGCGTTCTAATTTCACGAAGATGAACGCAAAATACAAATATTTATTTTTCAATGTATTATTGAAACTCAGGTTTATAACTTAATTTCTGTAGAACTTTACATTTTTTTTTTTAGAAATCAAGTTCTTTCGTAACAGTGCATATGTAGTTAAAATTTGTGGAATAAGTTGTGAAACACCCTGTATATGGAATTCCCAGGCTTAGAAAATTAATATTAATGTATAGAACCAAATCAACCTACATGACCTCATTTTCCAGTCTCCGATACCTGCAAAATGAAACCGACCTGCCTCAGACCCCTCCAGACAACAGCCTGCTAGCCTGCTCTACAATGGTTACCTCAAAGTCCCTGATTCCTTCTGCGAAGGGCAGAAGCAAATCGTTAAAACACCAAAGGTCCAACTCATTGACTGAAATCAACGATACCATCTTCAACATCGCAGTCAAAGATCCGGCTCAACATAAAATGAAGTTACCTTCTCTAGGGACAACTTGTAGACCGCTTCAGAAGAGGAAGGTGTTTCTGAATACCACTTCTTTGGATAATCGTAAGTTGTCTGTTTATATCTTACTTCCCACGCCAATTGGCGAGGAGCGATTGTAATTGCCTTGCTCCTCAAAATAGCCATTAACTGCCAACGTCACTTCTTCATCGTTGGAAAATCTTTGACTACTGTGCCATTTCTTCAAGTTTGGAAACAGAAAATGATCCAAGGGGGATAAATCTGGTGAATAGGGTGCATGGGGTAGCAATTGAAACTTTAATTCGTTAATTTTGGCCATTGCAATAACGGATTTGTGAGCTGGTGCATTGTCTTGATGAAACAATACTTTCTTCTTAACCAAATGCTGCCGTTTTTGCTTGATTTCATCGCTCAAACGTTGCAATAAGTTCGCATAATACTCGCCGTTGATAGTTTTACCTTTCTCAAGATAGTCAATGAAAATTATCCCACGCACATCCCAAAAAACCGACGCCATAACCTTGCCTGCAGATGAAACGGTCTACGCCTTCTTTGGAGCCGGTTGTCCCTTTTGAGTGCATTGTTTTGATTGTTCTTTTGTCTCGGGTGTGAAGTGATGGACCCATATGTTTCATCCATGGTTATGAAACGACGCAAAAATTCTGCTTTGTTGCTGTAAAACCTCGCTAAACACTCAATTGAAACATCTTCAGCTTTCTCATGTCCAAATTTTCAGATAATATGCGATGAACCGCACTTTTTGAAATGCCAACTATGTCTGCTAGCTCGCGCACTTTCAGTCGACGATCATTCAGTACCGCTTTGTGAATTTTCTTCACTATTTCTGGAGTCGTCACCTCGTTTGGTCGACCAATGCGATGCTCGTCTTGGCAGCTCATACGGCCTCGTTTAAACTCTGCTACCCAATATTTTACTTTTGTAAGCGAAGGAGCAGACTCACCCAGAGTAGAATCCAGTTCAGCTTTTATATTGGTTGGGCTGAGGCCTTTGAAATAAAAGTATTGTACCACATAACGATAAGCACTTTTCTCCATTTTCACAAATTCACTGAAAACGTTCAGTATTGATGGCTGCCAAACAAATACTAAACAACGTGGCGTCTTCAAACTTGACACATATGCTTTATAGGTTGCATACTTTCTAATACAATGATATTTTTCAAACAACTATCGCCATCTCTAGGTCAGGCCGCGTACTTCTGGGACCACCCTCGTAATCTAGTTAATCGCTGAATTGAGTGGGAAGTACAGAATTAATGTACTTGAGGCAATTCTTATAAAGTTGTCATACGCCTAGTCTCATCAGATTTTACTTTTATGGGTTGACTAATCTACGGGAATGTTTAATTTCAGTACCAGAAGAAACAGAACCAGTGGACCAACCAAAACCAGAATCTCGCAACGCTTTCAGTTCGCCGCAAGAGTCAACGGAATACACAAAATCAGAAAACGTCTTTGATCGGCCGTCTAACAGACAAACACTCTCGCAATGCTTGTTATTGGAGCCCCAGAACTTGGAAAAGATCTTCGACAACAGGCATATCGTGGAAAACTCTCAGACGCTTTTCTTAAGATCAGGTTACTTTCCGTCCCAACATAACCAACATTCTGTATTTATCAGTAAGGCTTCTCCCATTTGTAGTGATGTGCGGTAGAGGGTAGCGATGTGACATGCTTTTTAGGTTTTCTTGTGCTGCTTGTTAATTTCAATTGCACAAAATTACTGTTCCAAAATTAACGGAAACCAGATCGCTAACTGCATTTCCCAGTAGAGACAAATTGGGCGTTCTATAAGAACGACTTTCACTCCCAGTGACCTTGGCTCCGATTATGTCAGTGGCAAGTCCATAAACTATTATCTCCAAGGTCGATATCTCCAAAAATGATGATTTTTTATTTCTTTGGTTCAATAACCTGTAACTAACATTATCAAATCCTCGGAGCCAACGTCACTGCGGGAGAATGTCACTGGTATAGAATGCCAAACCCGCCTGATTTTGGATGGTATCCCAACAAAAAAATACCACATGCCAATGATAAAGTGTACTCCTATTGTTGCTAGCACTATGTTTTTGCTAACAGCTGAAGCGCTAATGCAGCATTAACACATCCCATAAATAATAATTGGAAGATAGCTTTTATGACTTTATTACACGTTACGAGTACATTTTGACTGTAGTAGTGGTAGAGTCACGCCATTTATTGCATCAGAAAGAGAACTTGTTTAGAGGAGAGCGATATACAGAAAACATTCAGTTGTCTTTTAGAAGTGACCCACTGAATATTCTTAAAAACTTTGGGTTTAATGTAACATCTGGATCTTACTATCCTGCTGTTTTCATGTCAATAATCTCCCATGTTTGTCTGACCAATGAAACCAGATATATTTGAAATTCTCTAATAAACCTTTCAGACACAATGGTGACATATATGATACTTTTGACAACAAATTGTTGTAAACGAAACGTTTATTAAAGAAGAATTTCAAATACACCTATATGATGTATCACTGACCAAACAAATATGGGCAATGACCCACTATTCTTTTTGACAATTATTATGATTATCAATTGAAGTCCTTGTTAAATAAAGATCTCCCCGTTCAATGCAGTGCATACAGTGAGCACCAGATAATTAATATATTTTTTTTAATTTTATATAGAACCAACTTAACATTCATTTCAATCTACAATCAATGTAATATTCAAAAACATGTTATTTTTCAAATGAAGAAACCTATTTTCATGAGGAATAGTCTTATCAATTTATTTATTACCTTTTTTTTTATTAAAATATAACATAAACAGAAATGTAAGCTTCTTGAAAATATATCAGCTTCACCGTTTTCCTTTCCAATTAATGAATTTTTCACATGTTATCATCTAGACCAACTTCTGAGATACTAAGCACTAAGATCATTTGAGTAACGTTTGTGAAAAATTACGAATGTTTTTTTAATTCACAGAAAATTAGCGAACAAAATGTTTGTACAAGCTCATAATTGCATTTTTTGGGAAAATTATATCTCATACGAGATTTTACAATAGACCACGTAATTTTCTACACTCTGGCGCTGAAAAAAAAGTATTTGCTGGGGTGTACGTAACCCCTACGTGCAGGGTCCTAGGGTCAATAGGGGATTTTAATATTATTTGCTTGTGCGTTACTAATTTTAGTACTTCTTACATTAGTGCTTCTAGGGCATGCCAGAAGATTGCACCCAAACAATTTAACATAGTTACCACCTGTTGAATCCAACTGGGCTGACCTCTGTCTGTTTTGATAGCTTCAGTAGTTTTCTAGGCACTAGCGATATTTTGATAGCCAGTTAAGTAAACAATATTTACTATCGCAGATCAGAAACGAGAAAGGAATTTAGAAGACGTATTGGATGACCTGAACAATGAACATGGAAAAAGCGGAAATGACAAGAAGATTGTTTCTCTACTTGAAGAGCTGTACAAATTTATGGAAAAGGACAACCCGATGAATAAAAAAGTGCCTTCAAAACTCAAGATCAAAATACTCAAGTGCTTATACAGATTCGTGGAGTCTCAGAACGAACATATTCTGATAAACATAGCGAAAGTCATTTTATCGGTACGTATATAAAATACATCAAAGTTGCTTTCACGGTAGTAGTAGTTAGAGGGCCAATAAACATTATTATTATTATATTGACGATGATTAATATTGTTCTTTGTTTATAGCTAAAAGTTACAGGCAATAATCTGAGTGGGGTCTGCAAGCTTATTTTCAAGGTTGCGAAGAATGATAAAAATGACCAGCTATTCTTCCAGAAAAACCTATTAGGTAAATATGCATATTACATATACTACTCCAAGGAGCAGGTCATTTAGTGAATTCAGATCCTAGAAATATCTAAAGTCTATCTAAAAATGGGGTCGATGTCAAACATTGTGCACGTAAACTCAATCTAAAGATTTAGACAGGGCGAAGTACAAAACTCCCGATAGTCCATCTTGTCGAATGCACTGGCTGACAGAAATACATTAGTTTGTCTGTTTTACAAAAAAAAAATGCAATTATTATACACGGGGTGTCCTGAATGTTCGGGCTTTTGTTTTCAGAAACAACTACGCTTGAACTAACAAAACTAATGTTGGATGAAACAGTAGCGATTAATTAAAAAAATGAATGAAAAGGTACACACCGTTCATTTGTTGAGAAATTTCAAGTCCAGCTCTGTCACATAAATACTGTTCGAAGTTGTTGCCATTGGTAAAATGTTACGTAGAAAGTCTAGGTATTGTAAACCGTCTAGCCGATTCAGGAAAATAAAATGTTCAATGAGCATCTCATTTACCATGACAGCCCAAATGTTCAAAAAAAAAGTCTGTTGAAAATGTGACCCACAGATTACATGTGGATTTTCCAATGACCACACATGAGTATTTCGGAAGTTACGCATCAAGGTTGATTCGTAATATGGACTGCAACAACCACTCACAAAAAAGCACTCTTGCAAGAAAATATTCAGCTTGGAGGGCGTGCAGAAAGGGTACGAACCGTCATTGGAGACTTGCACTTGTCAGGCCACTTCGAAGACGCTCACCATAAATTAAAAGCAAATCACAACAAACTCTCGATATTGCTGTACGAAAGTGCCATTTTATTATTTTTTTTTGAACAGTTTGTAAATGTTTTATTTACCTACGCTGCCGGCAGTCATTAAGTACTGACGGGAATCCAGCCTTCTCAGTTTTGATCTGATCGAAATACAGGGGCGGATTAGGTTTGCTTTAGGTTTGATTGATTTTGCAGAGCATACCTAATACCTCGGTTATCTTAAGACTTTGGTGTATACAGGGTGTCCCAGAAATCGACGTCAAGCCGGAAATGGGAGATAGGTCAAGTCATAATAGTTATCAGACGTCGTGTACTTTTCAAATTTGAGGCTTTTGAAAAAAAACGGAAAATCTACGCGCTGTGATGATCTTTTAGTTTCCACCACTACAAATTTGATTTTTTCTTGGACGGAGTGACGGATGGTGACATTCTACGTAGTGACAGCAAAACAGCTCTTTTATTAATTTGAATGTATTTAGGAAATTCACAATACATGTTCAAACTGCCTTCTTTCAGCAGTAATGCGAGCTTGATATCTTCTTAAAAATGATCGGTTTATCAGGCGAGCGAATCTTCTGTTATTAACAAATTCAGCTGTTTCCGTTATTCTGGCCCGTAACTCAGCTAAATTTTGGATGGTCTTTGAGTCAACTTTTTCTCTTACCCGCTCCCCTGTAAAAAATCGAGTAGATTTAAGTCAGGTGAACGGGCTGGTCACTAAATTGTACCAGACCTCCCTATTTATCTGCTCGGGTATTCTGCATCAAGATATTCTCTAACTGAACGGACATAGTGCTGAAACCACATGTCTCTGTAAATGCTTAGTGGCACATCTTCCAATAAATTTAAAAATTGATTTTCTAAAATCATTCAAGAACTAACTCTGCCAGCTCAAACGGTACAATGATACTCCCATTTAGAATCCTGGTCCACATGTTTAAAACGATACTGTTATCTCTATCTTGTCTAATCAAATGTGGCTGTTCTACATGCCAGTTGTGTAGATTCATGTAGGTAACCATCTTTTTTAAAAGTCTACCCATCAGTCCATAAATTTTTTTCTAAAAATCGCGGATCTTCCCGATTTCTCTGTAACATTGTTTAACAAAACTCAACTCTTGGAACATAATCTCGGGGTTGTAGAAATTGGGCTGTACTGTTGCACTCTTGCTCCTATTTGAAGTATTGAAATACTCGGGTCCTCTTGTAGTGCGAAGTTCTCGTGAGGAAAGGAAATTATTCCTTCACCATGTTCTTGGGAATCGTTCATCTGAGGGTAAACGGTGCACATTTACAAAATTCGGTGATCGGGATGACGGCAGAATTTGGGTACCTTGCACGATAAAGCATATCTGCAGCACTAGCATTGCAACTACATTTCCTATTTGAGGTGCAAGTTGGCGTATTCCTGTACGGTGTACACAGACATGGTGGCACTAGAAAATCATGAATTAATAAAAGTGGCGTTACTATCTGTCTTGCATTGACTACGTAGAATGATCCTGTCCGTCATTCCGTCTAAGAAAAATTGAAATTTGTAGTAATGAGAACAAAAAAGAATCATCACAGGGTTCAGATTTTTCCGTATTTTTCCGATTTATTAAAGCCTATAATTTACTCGATTTGGATTTTTTATATTTTTCTAGTAACTATTATGACTAGGCCTATCCCCCGTTTCCCGCTTGATGTCATCTTCTGGGACACCCGGTATGCTACAAGGAAAATTTATAGATATAGAGATTTTCTTGTTAAGTTTCATACATTATCTTGCATTGTAGAATTGTTTTTGGACGCTTTGGGCAGATCCAGTCCACTGGACGATGCTGAAGCGTGTGTATATGGTTATGGTGCCGTAAAGTTCCTGACGATGAATCCTAAGTTGCAAGAGAAAATCTTGGGACTAGGAATACTGCAACTTATGGTTTTACACGTGAAAATCATCAATGTAGCGGTAAGCATCGATAAAAAACCTACAAGAAAATCATTCTTGTTTTGACTAGCTTAAATTTGAATTTGGCGCCTCTCATATTTGAGGATAAGATGTGATATTTTAATAACGCTACTTTTGATGTTCCATTATATTGGTTATGCGCTTTCTTGCTTGTCAATGTGAGGAATCTATTGTACAGGATATCGCAGATACAATTTATGATCTTCAAATTAAATTGAAATATTTCGAAAAATGTTTTATTGAAAATGAAGCACCATATACATATGTCGATTTTATTATACAGGGTGGCGCATCTAAAACCAAACAGACGCATTTACTGGCAGCTCAGTTTTTATTTGGAAAAATGCTCAGACCCGTCCATTTTGTTTTCGAGGGGGATACAAGTTTGGCAAAAAATCACGTTAACACCTGCAACCCCCTGGGCGGGGGTGACACGAACCCTAAAATCTTAAATGGAAAGGGGGGTCGAGTGATACCTTATTTTAAAGGTCTTCCAATTCCCTTTATAATGATGTAAAATACTTGAGCTTCAGTTCAGTAGATTTGAAGATTTATTGATTTAAAGCTTGAAGTAGACTTTAATAGGTACATTTAAATTAGTTTGTACCACTCTCAGAAGAAATTTGACTAAAAGAATTTACTTAATAAGTAAATGCTTTTCTTCACTACGCCCATGGTTTGTTTATCATTTTGTTATTGAAAATAGCTATTGTGGCAAAAAAGTTATTTCTTGAAAAAAGATAAGGAAATATCTCGTACTTATTTTAAATAGGAATTTAGTACATAGTTTGCGATTGATTTGACCAAACTTTGTTGCTAAAATAACTTGTAATGCTTTATTACATAAATTAACCATGGTATATTCCACAGCAGAAAGAGTTGAAATTATCGAAATATTTTTCGGAAATAATCAGCGCGCTAATAGAACAGCAGAAATATTTAATCAGCTACATGAGAACAGTAACGTGCATCGAAAATATGTTCTAGAACTTGTAGCTAAATTTCGGGAAACTGGGTCAGTCGCCAATAAAAAACGCAACATTGAAAATCCCATAAGGAACGAAGCAATAGAAGTGGGGGTTTTAGGGCAAGTTTATGTAGATCCTACGTTAAGTACCCGCAAATTGGAGACTGTGTGTGGTGTTAGTCGACGTACTGTCCAACGGATTCTAAAGGCCGATAGTTTTCATCCGTATAAAATTCACCTGGTACAAGAACTTATTGAAGACGATTTTGATCGGCAATTACAATTTTGTAAAGGTATGAGTGAACGAATTATAAACGATGAACATGTTCTATTCAACACTTGCTTTTCCGACGAATGTTCCTTTTTCTTAAATGGCGTAGTAAATCGTCATAACTGCCGATATTGGTCCGATTCTAATCCCAGAATTTATCATGAGGTTCATACACAGCAGCCACAAAAATTAAATGTTTGGGCTGGTATTTTTGTTAGTTGGTCCTTTTTTCTTACCTGGAAATTTAGAATTACTGGAAGACGCCATAGATCCTGCATTAACAGCCATAATTGAAAATCAGAATGATCGGCGGTACATTGCGAATAGGTTGATGTTCCAACAGGATGGTGCCCCACATTACGCATTACGTGTTCGACAATATTTAGATCAGACGTTTCCAGATCGACGGATTGGTAGAAGAGGTGCCATTGAATCGCCCCCAAGATAGCCAGATTTATCACCTTTGGATTTCTTTATGTGGGGTCATTTAAAAAGCAAAATCTATGCTACTCAGCCAACATCATTAGAAGACCTGCGACAAAGAATTGTGAATGAGTGCCTTCAAATTACTCCTCAAATATTGCAAAATGTGCGGCAACGTTTTGACCAAAATCTTTTTTATTGCATGGAGAGTCATGGTGGCATTTTCAACATTTACTTGTGTAACGGGTCAGTTCATTCTTCATTTTTAAATTACTTTGCTGCCAAATGTATTGATCCCCACTAATGATGATGTATTAGTTTTATTTAAGCTTTAAATCAATCAATCTTCAAAACTACTGAACTGAAGCTCATGTATTTTACATCATTATAAAGGGAATTGAAAGACCTTTAAAATCAGGTATCACTCGACCCCCCTTTCCATTTAAGATTTTAGGGTTGGTGTTACCCCCGCCCAGGGGGCTGCACGTGTTAACGTGATTTTTTGCCAAACTTTTTTGCCCCTCGAAAACAAAATCGACGGGCCTGAGCGTTTTTCCAAAAAAAAAAACTGAGCTGCCAGTAAATGCATCTGTTTCGTTTTAGATGCGCCACCCTGTATAAAGATTACGTTATCTAGGTGACCCTCATTTCACCGTACGCACTTATGACTACAACCTGTTCATGGCGTTCAGTTTCGCTCATTTCACCATGGATATATTATTTCGAGTCTCTCTTCAAATATTAACGTCAGCTTTGCTCTAGGCATACTCCACAGAAAGAGTCAATGATTGTCAAATCTGTTGATCGCGGACGGCATGCAATATCATCAAAGTTAAAAAGATAAAAAGGTAATTATTTTATACCTCAGATCAGACAACACTCTGCATACTTGCCTCACTGCAGTGGTTACTCTTTACTACCTTCACGAATTGTTTCCACAAAAGGTGATGTATCGCTTTGATACTATTCTGTGCAGCGTGAGCACCAGAATTGACCCCCGTGAATATTGTCCCTCACGGGCACAAAGTTAACAAGATTACTCCGAAAAATATAATTTGGCCTGTAAAAATATACGTCGCGCAGTAAGCAAGATGGAACTAAGGTCAAAGTCAATAAAGTTCAGCGTTTGGCTACTACCAGTATTACAAGCGAAGTGCAGATAACGTGTAATGGAAGCTCTGTTGGATCTCCTCCTGTTGGATCCAGTGATCCGCGGAGAGGTGAGAGTAGTCATCACATCGACTGTGGAGTCAAGGCAGCTGGTCCTTTTTGAGTCATGTCAAGAGTCACACTGACATAGTTTAATTGCGAAGGAAAGATCCAGTCCTACTGAGCAGCTGTGATCTGATCAACCCTAAATGTCGCAAGTTTAATATCGAGTATCCGACGAGGGCGGAGTGGTACTCCGGAAGCCCGAAGGTCCGATGGAAGTCGGCTACACGGACGGCTCGGTTACTGAAGACGGCTCTGACGCCTTAGTCTTTGGGCCTAGAACTAGACTCTCTCGGCGGATACACCGCTATTTTCCAGACGAAAATCTATGCAATTCTGGCTTGCGTATCCCACATTTTGGAAGGGAAAGAGCCTAGGAGAAGAATAACAATTTTCTCAGACAGTCTGCGATGAAGGCAGTAAGTGCCTGCAAGATTACTTCGAGCCTTACATTGCAATGCTCCTGGCTCTAGATAGTCTAGCAGCGAGGCATCCGGTGTCATTAGTGTGAGTATCGAAGTACGCTGGGATAAAGGGTAATGATATGACGGATGCTCTTGCGAAAGCAGGATTAGCGGGCAAGCTTGTTGGTCCTGAGCCAGCTCTAGGGGTACCCGCGCAAAGAGTCAGGAGGAAAATGGAGAAGCATCTCTAGACATCTCCGCCAGGCACGGGAGCTCATCGTATGGTCCAGTGTTAAGGATGGACGCTTTCGCTTATCTTTAGATAAAGTCAACCCCAGGTTGTTGGTGGAACTGTTATCCGGCCAAAACACGATGAGGCGCCACCTGCATGTGATGGGGGTGGCTGAGGATCCAATGTGTGCTGAGCGCTGCGGGGTAGAGGAAAAGTCCTCGGCGCATGTTCTGTGATGCTGTGAGCTACCGAGCTACTACAGGGGTCCAACACTTTGGATCCCCAGAATAAAGACCATAAGGGCCCGTTTATGCGGCCGATTCACCGGTTCCTCATGGTGGACGGTATGCAACTAATGTCGTTATTCATTCATTCAAGAAAGATTGAATCAGCGATGCCTCAATGAAATGAAGGACATCTACATGATGCAAATCTTTAAAAAATAAAATATTTTGCCATATTTGGAAATCCTAATTCTTTTCTGAGACATTGTATTTCACATCGTATAAAATATCGCAATGCCGAATGAGAAAGATGCCTTAGCTAAATTTACATAAGAAGCTTCGCTAAGAAGCATAGATTCTTAACCTGAGCCGCATAGCGAAAATCTGGTTGCGTTTCAAAGGTAGATTCTACTAAAGAATTATGTGAATATATTGTTTTAATAAACTGTACTTCTCCCTAAAATATAATCATTATATTTTAGAAATCAGAGAAAAGCACAATGCCCGAACAGACAACTCATGTTCTGTTCCAACTTACTGGAGCGTTACGAAATTTGGTATCAGAGGAACTTGTTTATGATACCTTCATATCATTTGGTACCATACCTCAACTATGTCAGACACTGGAGTTGTTTTTCTCGGATGTGGATATCGTCACCAATATATCCAGGACACTAAGGTAAAGATACAAAATGAATAACACAAAAACTTTTGTTTTTCCAATATGCACACCTTGTTCGGAAAAAAGCAAAGTAATCATCTCAATCAAATTTTAAGCTAATACATGTATACGATAATAAACACTATACAAAATCTTCAGAAAGTTGATGAGGTCTTTTAGTTATCAATTAATATACTAAGTGACATATAAATCCGAACACCCAGTTTAAATGGTTTTATTTTAATAAAATTTTGTATAAGTACTTAATGAAGCATAATAAGTAAATGATAAAAATTTCAAAATGATTGCACTGCTTTAAAGCCCTTTGACCTTTAATAATGTGTGGATGCACCCTGATGTGCTACGCCTTCTCCAACGCGCCTAGGCATGCTTCTGATCAGGTGGTTAATGTCCTCCTGTGGTATCTCATTCCAGGCAACCACTAACTCCTCTCGAAGTGCTTCTAGAGTCTGAGGAGGACGTTGCAAATTGAGCAATCTCCTACCCATCATATCCCACACGTGCTCAATTGGGAATAAGTCGGGAGATCTTGGTGGCCATGGTAACAATGTGACATCATTATGTTGAAGGAAGTCTATTGTGACTCTTGCAATATGTGGTCGGGCATTATCTTGTTGGAAAGTTGGATCTGCCAGGGTGTCAAGATAGGGTAAAAGATGGGGTTCTAGAACTTCGTGGATATAACGCTGCGCGTTCTTGTTACCTCTGATGAAGATTAAAGGTGACCTGGAACCATAAGCTATAGCACCCCAAACCATAACTCCAACAGTGTGATGAACATGTCTTTCAACAAAAAACTGTGGATTCCTCCTTTCACCACGTCGCCTTCTAACCCTGGCACGACCATCGTGCATGCCTAAACAAAATCGAGACTCGTCACTAAAGACAATACTGTTCCTTTCCTGATCCCAGAGTGACCGTTGTCTGCACCACTCAAGGCGATTATGTCGGTGTTCTCGAGTTAAAGGGAGGACCCAGTGTGGCCGGTATGAAAACAAGCCAAAACTTCTCATTCATCGGTAAATACTTCGCATGCCAATAGGTCTTCCGTGTTCTGCAAACCATTCATTTGCAATGGACCTGGTAGTGGAAAAACGGTCCCTTAAGGCCAATAATCTTAGGCGGCGATCTTCACGGTCTGTTGTTCTACGGCGGTGTCCAGTGCCCCTTGCTCTTTGCGTACGGCCTTCTCGAAGCCATGCCTGACAACACCTAACCACAGTGTCTACACTTCTTTGCACTCTAACTGCAATTGCCCGAAAAGAAAGTCCAGCTTCCCGAAGTCCCACTATACGGCCCCTATCAAACTCACTAAGTTGACGAAATCGTACAGGTCTCCGTACTCTAGGCATCGTAACCGATCGTAAAGGATATCAAGAACCAAAATCCGCCAACGTTGATTCTTTACTGCGGCTGAAATATTCATTTTTAGAGTGTTAGTGAATTAAAAAAAGCAGTATAAAAACCGGAATGTCCAACTGATAAGGCTGAACATTTTTTCACTTGTTATTTACAGTAAGATAAATACATTCACCAACTTTTATTAAAATAAAACCATTTAAACTGGGTGTTCGGATTTATATGTCACTTAGTATAACTTCGTGAATTAACATTTTTTAACAAATCTTTTGAAATCTAAGGTAAGCATCTTGTGGTATATTGAAAAAAGTTAGTATGGCGATTTTAGGAGTGAATAGAAATCACTAAAACGGATTAAAATTCACAAATTCGTGTGGACTGCACAATTCGATCTACAATTAGCCTTAGATATTAAGGATCTGTTAAAAATTGCGGTGAATTCATTTAGTCGTTTGCGCGTATTATTTTAGTTGACAATCTTTTCTTGCATCAATGTTCGCCGTTTTAAAATGTGTATATTACAGAAGAGGGAGAGTTGTTCTATTAACTATTTTATTGTAAGTTTTATTATCGTTCTAAGAGTGCCTTTATTTTTTCAGCACAATATCAACGAATGAGTGCTGTTGTGACAGTATAGTGGACTATAAGAACATTTATAAGTTATTTATAAGATTATTCGAAGAGTACGCAGGAAATGAAGAAATTATTGTTCGTCTGACTTACACGTTAGGAAATATAGTGGCAAAGATTGATAATACAAGAGTAAAGGTGGGTATACAATGAAGAATGCACAAATAACGGAAAATAAGATCTCTCCCTTGATACAAAGGAAACCAAAATCCATCAGTGACAATTGAAACAGAATTATAAAAAATCTAAATTCATGGATTCTATAAGTATTCAATAATTTGCTAAAATACAAATCATTGTTGTTTGACAGCAAAATATTTTTCTCATTCACCACCGCGTTATACTGACCCTTGAATAAGGTACATTATAAAAATGACGTTGCGATCATCCTAGAGTACAACATAAAGTGAAGTTAACTATCAAAAAAATATTGTCACATTCACTTCACGTTCTATTTTAAAAAGACCAACATTTGTGGTTTTATCCAAGAGGCAGTACAACATGGAGATGATTCTGCGTTTCGGGAGTTTCAAATTTCTTCCGTTTTTTGTTCATTATTTTCGTGGTATATAGGTATATACCATCACAAGCCCATAACATTTATTTTTGCAGTTCTACTACCAAGACAACTCAATTGATAGCTTGTTGAATCTGTGGAAAATCTATTTAGAACGAACACTCCACAACTGTTCGCTTAAAGCGGAGAGTGATAATGAATTTAACAGCAACCCCGAAGATGTCATGATTAAGGTAAGCATCCTTAGTCCATAGTAAACGTAGGTTACAGCCAGTCCGCACCATTCTTCAACACAAATAGAACTCAGTGTGTACCAGCCACAGATAATCAGTCCAACAATAATGACAGAGAAAAATATTAAATTTCCTGGCAGAAATCGCTTCACTAAAAAATGCCAGTCATAAAATTTTACATTTTAGAGATTTGAATCAACATATTTTGGTATTATTTATATACAGGGTGTTAGGGAAATAATATTCGTAACTTTAAGAGGTGATTTCTTGCACTGTCAAAGCAAAAGTTCATTATAACCTATGTCGGAAAATCAACCGTTTCGAAGCAAAAAAATGCTGAACTCTTTTTAGTCATGAAATAAATTAATTTTGCACCTTAATAATTTAAATTCATATGCCTAATAGCGTAAAATGTATCAATACATCTATTTATTAATTAACTGTCTCTAACAAAACAATTTTCTTGTTTATTAAATACAATTTTCCGAAGAAAAACAGACAAACAAAATCCCTCACACAACTGGCAACGTCGTACTCCGCCTGCACTGCATGTATCATCGCGTGTTGTTATGAACACTAATACATCGCATCGTTTCAAATAAGTGACAGATAATCGTGGGAATTGGTGGGGTGTATCGCCACGTACCGGCAAGTTCTGTAATTTATTTTAAGTAAGTATACTGTACTGAAAGCGTTATTAAATAAAAAACATTAGCCATAAAAAATTGCGTAAAAGTATTCCATAATTCAAGGCACATTTTCAACAAAAATATCATACAAACGTAAACAATTCGATGAATCAGTTGCGGTCGTCGTGCACTCGTATCGCGGTTGCGTTGCAGCGTTGCCAAATGTTTCAGAAAATTTAATTATTTACGACTCATTTTTCTCGGAAACGATTGATTTTCGGACATATTGGGTAATTGAAGTAATTTGTTATTCCCTAAAGATACACGAGGTTGTTTAACCTAATTTTTCAACTCCCGTTTTTTAATTTTCTTCTAGATAATTCGAGTTATCGCAAACATGGTGATAAACCCAGAGATCGGGAAAGCACTGAACGACCAATACGGAAACAAAATAATAGAGGAAATACTCAAGGTGCTTATAAGCAACCCGTTCAAGAAAAACGAAGAGTTAGTGCTGTCCATACTAAGCACACTGAACAATCTTTCGTATTACTACACCAGTGAAATGGAAATTGACATTTTCCACATTAAACAGATTGACATAGTTGAAGGTGAGAAATCTTCACAGAAATCTATTTAAAAACTTGACTGAAACATTTCTTCACAGGCATTATTGTTTTACCAAAATGACAAAGAACTACCTACATTAAAAAAAATACAAACTGCACTAACTAAAAAGAATGAAATGCTATCAGGAGAAATCTAGAGACACCTCATATGTCAAAATTCATCAAGCCGTCAAATAAGAATTTCAAGTATGCCTATCAGCACATGTACTATCAAAACAAATCTAGAGAGGGCCTCATACGTCAAAATCCATCAAGGTGTTTAAGCATGTGAAATAGAAATTTCAAGGTTGATTTCAAAAATCAAATCCAAGCGAATAACCAAAATTTCT